ACACTTCAGCAAAGGAAGGTTTAACCCAGGCAAAGACGCTCTATACTGACTTCATGGCAGTGAATATGTGCAAACTCCATCACCAAGTAAGCTCAATGACTTCTAAACTGCCAGGTGAGATGAAAAAGAACCATGTTAATTCTTGAAGATTTTTAAATGACGTCAAAGTTTAAAGTACATATCTCTGTTTGAAGGGGTAGGAAATCAAAGAAGTTATCTAAACATTAGAATGTTGACAAGAAGGATTTCCATCCTCTATATTTAGCCCTACTTAGCTATATGCAGAAGCTGGTTGGTTGTTATTGAAAAATATGATGTTTTAATGCCTATAAATATTTCTTGTTCAATATTTTGTGTACAGTTACAGTGACAATGACGTACTACTTGAAGCACTTTTTCCATATTTTTAAATTAAATGGGGAGAAGAAATATAAACAATCTAGAAAAAATATCTTACTCAGTTGCACATATTTTAATTTGGGTATGGTCTTGTTCAATACCTTGCAAGTATGTTTTTTCTTACTTTGTAAATTTGCAGTAATTGTTTTGTATTTTACCTGAATGTATCATAAAATGTAGAAATATAATTGCAATTTCACTTCCTAATCTGCAAGTGGAATCATTATTATTGGGGGGAAAAATATATATATATAGATGTGTGATGACACCCAATAGAAAAATAGAGTAAATGAAAATTAAAGATCAAACAAAATCTTAATCATGACAGAAATTGACTGTACATTTAGAATTAGAAATGAAAATCATACTGATACAAAAAAAATCAGCATAAATCAGGAAATGTTTGGTCTTATTCTCTTGCATATGCAGCACAGAAGCTTCTCCACAATTAGAAAAAAAAGGAAAATCCTGCAAAAGAAAGCAGGATTTTAGTATGCTAATATTATTTAAGCAGTTTTCTCCCTAGAAAAACATAACTACCACAAAAAGAGTGCTATTGACCTGCCATTTGATGTGATTCAACATTTCTGCACTTAAATAAGATTATCCTTTTAAATGGGACTAAATCAGCACTCCCTGCAGGGCAATTTTACAAACACATCACACCTGCCAGCACTTGGCTTAACTAACTGCTCAACCTTTCATTGAATTGGTAGATTGATAGTAGCTGGGAGTTACCTGTGGACAGGTAACATATATAAGCATCAGTGCAGTTGTCTTTTAGTCAGCTTGAGGTGTGGGAGATTTTGTTGGCTGGACAAGCTAGTGGAGTTGGTTGTGGATTTTTGTGTGCTGTATTGTTCAACATCCACTCAGTTCTTGCAGCTGAGAGTTGCTGCACTCATGGCTGCTGGATTCTTAATACTGAGGTACAACATTTAAACATGAATATTCCCTGATGTTTGTTGTATTCTAAACTTTTTTTGGCTTTCAATTTTTTTCCTTCACTGTATATATCTGTTTTACCTGCTGAATGAAGTGAGCTTCTCTTGGGCCAAGTACAGAGGTAAGTGTTTTTGTGTGTTGCTTGCAAAACTGAAAGTAACTCTAAAAGCTGCTTTATATGTTGTAAATGCATGCACTTACATTTAGACTTTAAATCTAGAAGTATGTTTTAATAGACCTATCTTGCGTGCTCATTGGTGAATAGTGTTCCAACAGATACACATGTCTGACAAGGCTATTGCTACAAAACCTTGCACAAAGTATTGAGTTGGCCTCATTTCAAAGTGGTCCTGTATTTCTTGCCTTCATGTATAATGCCCTCTTTTACAGTAGTTTGGGACCTCTACAACGGCAACAATCAAATGTCTACTCTTCAGACTTTACACCTCTTAGCTGTGAGGGATACAATCCCTTTATCTACCACAGCATTGCCATAAATCTTATCCACCTCAGCCAAATGCTTGTCAGAGACCGTATCCCCAAAGTAGCTGTTATGGATCCCAGTGGCCAAGACCTGTACTCTCTCAAAATTGTTGTCTAGGACCCTATCCCCCAAGCAGCTGTCATGCACCCCAGTGGCCTAGACCACAGCTCCCAAAGGATCCTTGTGTAGGTCCTAATCCCCCAAGTAGCTGTCATGGACACAAGTGGCCAAGACCTCTGCTCCCACAGGATCCTTGCTGGAAAGGCAATTGCTTACAACCCAGTCACCGACCATACTACCATGGCCTCAGGGACTGCCCTCTAAGGCTTGGGCTACCTCAGATTGTAGGTAATGTGTTTGGACACAACAAACGACCTTCCAAAAAAATGTTCAAATATTGAAGTTCACTGGATGTTTTATGGAAAGTCATCCAGGAACTGACTTCAACTGGAGTTCTTGTTGTTGAGAGATGCCCTTCCTCTTGACTTTAAGGTTAAGATATTTATGGTGGCAACTACATAACTGTTGTATTGATCTCAATAAACTTGTTTAAAAGTATGACTTTTCTGTTTTTTGTTGCACGACTTTTGCAGCGGTGAACAAGTAGCTTATTCCCTACTATCAGCACTGCTCAATTGGCACTCATGGGGCCTTCCCAAACAGTGTCTTTTACTGGCTATTTTGCAGGCCACCAGAAGATCAGGATTTTTACCACACTATGTGCTTATCCTCATGGAAAACATTATTCCTCATAAAACAAAGCTTTTGTCCACTAGGGTAAGAAAAAAAAAAATTAAACTGGAAGGTCTTCAGAGATGCCCTAATTGGGTGGTTTTAATTACTTGACCATTTTATTTCCTCCACCCAAATGGTGGGTTAAATTAACTTTTATATAACTTGTATAAAATTGTATATATTTTTACATGGACTAGAGTATTTCATTAGCTTTTCAACAGTATTATAGACAACTTTAAGTTTATTTTTACAGCAACATTCTATACCCTACCCCCTCATGTCGGCTTTTCGTTATCAAGACTGTTATAACTTGAGGGCCTTTGGGGCTTGTATAAACATTGTCTAACAAGTGAGTTTGTCAGGTTCCAAAGAATAGGAAATTGTCCAGCCAGCTATGAAAATTAAAACATTATTTTTTTTGAAGAGGTCTAATGTATACGGAGCCCCCTAGGGGACATGGGGAATTTTTTTTCTTTTGCGTTCCCTCGCAATACTTTTGCGTTACCTCGCAAAAACTTTTGCGTTCCCTCGCAAAACCTTTTGCGTTACCTCGCAATAGGGCTTGGTCGTCGTGACCATGTTGACGGCGCACTTTACGGCTTCCTTAGACTATTGCCTGTGTTCTCCCTCTCAGCCGTGTTTTATTTCGTTTAATTTCACCGTAACTTGATTTCAACCATGGTAAACCGTTGCTGTATTGTGGGCTGTAACAGCGCATCACATGATCGCCGAGGGAAAAACCTACAAAATGGGATAACTTTCCACCGTTGTCCTGCCTGGAGGCGCAAACACGGAGACCAAGTTTCACAGATAACAAAGAGTCGTCGGCTAGCTTGGATCGCGGCTGTAAGACGACAGAACAGAACTTTCCACAGTATCCTGATGTCAATGCGAGTGTGTTCCCTGCATTTTCATTCTGGTAAGTTAAAGATGCACGGTTTTATTTTATAGCCTACAGTGTTTCCTTCCTTCATCCGTGGCACCACATACAAGCATGAACGCGCGCCCAGAGACTGTTGATATAGCATTTTCATCCTCGTTGGTTGATATAGCATTTTATCCTCTGTGGTAGAACACACTGCCAGTTCCTACAAGGACAGGGACATCCCTCTCCATTTTCAAAAAAAACCCTGAGGTTGACAGCTGTCATAGCACCACTTATAAATTTTGCTGATCCTAGCGCTTACCAGCCGTCTTGTAATGTAATGTAATCATATAATACAATTTAATAATGTGTATATTGAGGATCATTGATAACATTATTGTTCTATTTGTTTTCAACACTGCTGCTGTGGATAATAATTTTAAATTGTGTCACCAGGAAAACCAGCAAATGAAATGTACACCTCGCATCCGGATTGGGCACCATCACTACACTTGGGCCACACTGAGATAAAGGCCACACAGACTGCACGCTATGAGAGACAGGAAAAGAGAAAACGGCAAAGGACTGACAGTACACCTGCGAGGATGAGACAGCTATTGATGACCTTGTTCCACCCGGTAAGCCTTACAGAGCCAGCAGATTCAACACCGTATGTTGCTTTTGTGGCTTTTTCAGCTGCATGATGCACATTTAGCTAAAAGATGTCCTTATTTTATCCATAGTGGAGACACCAGCACCAGCTGAGGATGGAGCTGAGCAGACACCGCCGGCGTGCTGAAATCAACCGGCTGCTGGAGGAGAACAGGACCCTGAAACGTGAGCTTGGCCAGAGAAAAATGGATGAAGATTTCCTGAAGGAAGACACCGTCAAAGTGAAATACTACACTGGACTTCCACACCTTAAAGTCAACCACTTTATTCTGGTGTTTATGAATTACTGTATTAAAGAAAAGATTGATGCTCAATATGGAATTGACAATTTCTTTGTATCAACAATACACTCTAAGCAAACATTTAACAAGTGGGTTGTTTTTTAGCCATAGGTGTGTTTTGCATCCATACCCAAAAGCAAGAGGTCTCAAACGATCAGATCCTTTTCAGTGTTTATTTGCAAGTAGTGAAACTTGAGAACACAGTGCAGCGCAGAACAGAGCAGTGCAGTTTGAATGCTTGTAGGTAAATGGTTACAAATAAAAAATGGACGCGATGAAAATGCAGTGCAATTACTTACAATAACATAGTATGTATTTATACAAAATGTTCAATCCTATTAATAAGTCGGTCTTAATGAAACATCAATGGAGAAATGGAAAGTGGAGATATTGCAAATTATTATTATACAAATTGTAGTTATAGTAAACATTAACAGTTAAACACTGTTAGTGCAAATTCTTATATAAGTATTTATAATAATATGCATTACTTAAATTGTATAAATAAAGGCTGCGATGCAATATGTCATGATATACAATAATATAATCTATAATTGTATAATATAACAACGTGCAATAATATGCAAATATAACAATACATTGTAATAATACAAAATACTATGCTTTTTATAAAAAATGTCTATGTATAAAAAAAATTCCAAAGTAATAAAAAATACGTATTTATGAAACATCAATTACAAACATAAAAATTGGAGGTAGATCAAATTAAGTAATAACAGATATCAATAACATTTGAAGTAGTGCAAATTATTACCGGTACTATAGTACACATTAAAAAACAATGTTAGTGCAATGTCTTATATAATTACTTTTAACAATATGCATTTCTTAAATTGTATAAATAAAGGCTGCGATGCAATATGTCATGATATACAATAATATAATCTATAATTGTATTGTAATATAACGACGTGCAATAATATGCAGCTGCAATGTCTTTCACTGTCTCACAGTGCTGGAGAAGGACAGCTGGTGGAGCATTTTCAAACTTTGGGTCGCGCAGACGGTCTTGCAGGGGTTTTGGGATCACAGCTGGCTGGACAGGAGCAGCATAGTTGTGAAAGTAGGGCTTCACTGTGGACATACAAACTGACCTATGGTTCTGAAGAACAGGGAACATTGACGATAAGTCGTCCAATGTGGCTTGGGCAGTGCGTCTGCTGGCCCGTGTCCGTAGGCCAGGCATGGGAATGTTGTCATCGATGACTCTGTCCAGAGCAATCCTCTGCACTTTGGATGAAGTGAAGTCCATCTTGTGGGCGACTTCACCGCTGACTTTGTTGATACCTGCTGGTATTTTCCAATAAGCTGGCACATCTGTCACAGTCTTTTTCCCACGGATGCGGACTGCTGCCTCAATCTTAAACAGCAGAGCCCCAACATGTGTACATGCCTCTGCAATTCCAGCCATGCATGTACAGTGTGCACAGCAAACCTGCCCATCGTCAGCAATGATGACCCATGGCTTCAGGGGAGTCTCATTAATGCGCTGAGAGTGCAAGACCTGAGGAGAAAAAAAATAGACATAAATTATGCAGGTAAGGACACCATTATATTTCATTCTATGCTGGAAAGCAAACGTTAACCTCAACCCCTCATGCATGTGTATACATATCATATAAATCACAGTTATACAACAGTAAAGTATAACAACCACGCTGTTATATTGTTATATCACTTAAAAGAAAAAGAAATGAAATGAGCACAGGACATTTAAACCTGCATAATACCTCTGACTGAATGATTTAAGCTCAAAGTTACCCGTTACAGTGTTTTATGAGGTCAGATTTAATAACCCGCAGTCAATACTGCACTCATTTTTCTAAATAGTTCACTTTGAAAGACTCTGATTCAAACTAGGAGTTAACTTGAATGGCCACAGCACTGCACTATTGTTTATTTTTTTTATATTTTGCGGATCTTTGACTAATCTATTCCTTAAAATTTTATTAATAACAATGTTCAATAAATGATTTTCAACAAAATACAGATGTAACACCTATCCAGTTTCTGAATGATGGTAAAAAAATCTTGTTTCTACCAGCAGCTGGGGGAGACTAGATTAGAAGATGGTTCAGAAAACCTGTTAGGACACATTTTTTTTCTAACACTAAGTATCAAACAAATGCTGATTTCTATTTCAGCAAATTATTCTTAAATTTTTTTTTAATATTTTGAATAATGTTTTGATGAAGATTTGAGATTCCTTTCACTGAATGAATGGTCACAAAGCTAGTGTTAAGCTTGAAGTCTCTGGCCAAGCTCACGTTTCAGGGTCCTGTTCTCCTCCAGCAGCCGGTTGATTTCAGCACGCCGGCGCTGACAGAAATCACATTCTGTCAGCGGTGTCTGCTCAGCTCCATCCTCAGCTGGTGCTGGTGTCTCCACTATGGATAAAATAAGGACATCTTTTAGCTAAATGTGCATCATGCAGCTGAAAAAGCCACAAAAGCAACATACGGTGTTGAATCTGCTGGCTCTGTAAGGCTTACCGGGTGGAACAAGGTCATCAATAGCTGTCTCATCCTCGCAGGTGTACTGTCAGTCCTTTGCCGTTTTCTCTTTTCCTGTCTCTCATAGCGTGCAGTCTGTGTGGCCTTTATCTCAGTGTGGCCCAAGTGTAGTGATGGTGCCCAATCCGGATGCGAGGTGTACATTTCATTTGCTGGTTTTCCTGGTGACACAATTTAAAATTATTATCCACAGCAGCAGTGTTGAACACATATAGAACCATAATGTTATCAATGATCCTCAATATACACATTATTAAATTGTATTATATGATTACATTACATTACAAGACGGCTGGTAAGCGCTAGGATCAGCAAAATTTGTAAGTGGTGCTATGACAGCTGTCAACCTCAGGGTTTTTTTTGAAAATGGAGAGGGATGTCCCTGTCCTTGTAGGAACTGGCAGTGTGTTCTACCACAGAGGATAAAATGCTATATCAACCAACGAGGATGAAAATGCTATATCAACAGTCTCTGGGCGCGCGTTCATGCTTGTATGTGGTGCCACGGATGAAGGAAGGAAACACTGTAGGCTATAAAATAAAACCGTGCATCTTTAACTTACCAGAATGAAAATGCAGGGAACACACTCGCATTGACATCAGGATACTGTGGAAAGTTCTGTTCTGTCGTCTTACAGCCGCGATCCAAGCTAGCCGACGACTCTTTGTTATCTGTGAAACTTGGTCTCCGTGTTTGCGCCTCCAGGCAGAACAGCGGTGGAAAGTTATCCCATTTTGTAGGTTTTTCCCTCGGCGATCATGTGATGCGCTGTTACAGCCCACAATACAGCAACGGTTTACCATGGTTGAAATCAAGTTACGGTGAAATTAAACGAAATAAAACACGGCTGAGAGGGAGAACACAGGCAATAGTCTAAGGAAGCCGTAAAGTGCGCCGTCAACATGGTCACGACGACCAAGCCCTATTGCGAGGTAACGCAAAAGGTTTTGCGAGGGAACGCAAAAGTTTTTGCGAGGGAACGCAAAAGTATTGTGAGGTAACGCAAAAGTATTGCGAGGGAACGCAAAAGTATTGCGAGGGAACGCAAAAGTATTGCGAGGGAACGCAAAAGAAAAAAAATTCCCCATGTCCCCTAGGGGGCTCCGTAAATGTACATGTTTAGGGTAGATGTATGTTTTAATATACTTTTAAACATTAGGTATATTGGGATTCATAATTTCCAAAAATGTTATTTTCTCCCTTTCTAATCTGTAGCCTACTACTTGTAGTGAACTTTAGCATTTTTGGCAATGTGTTAGGTCTCTATGAGCTTTTTCAGCCATGAGACTTTTTACTACCAGATAAATGTGTTTTTATCTTTAAATGTTTTATGGCACTAGAGGCTTATCTTACAATAGCTTGACAGGATAGTGGGTATTCGAGATGGGGAGAAACATGCGGCAAAAGGGCCACAAGTCTGATTCGAACCTGGGTCGGCTGCCTGCACGCCATTCACTGCGCCATCAAAGCATGCCTAGATAAATATTGTATTCGTATGAAAAACACAACTTCCAAACTCAAACACCAAAGTTAATTATTGGCAGCTAAGCAGTCCTTTGCGATAGGAATTTTGCACAGACTGTGATATACTGTGCAGCAGATTTAGCAGTAGAGATAAATAAAAATAAATGCAGTCTATTTTAAAATTATAAAAATGAGTAGCAACATCAACTTAAAATGCAATGGATGTGGGAATATATATTCTAACTTTTAAATCTTAAAGATCTGCAGCAGCTACCCTTGTCTACTGATCTAAAACCAAAATAAGTCTTGAACTGTAAAGTATTTCTCTTAGACATGCCGGGTGATGGATCATCATATCTTTAAATATGATTTATTCTATTCAATTAGCTCAAAGAGTTGGCTCAGTGTGCAACAAACACCCAGACAGGGGAAAGCAAAAGGGTGCAAGTTGAAAGAAAATATTGGACCTTTGAATAATTTAAACCATTATCTTTTTCTGTTTAGAAAGTAGTTTTTTTTTCTCAAACAGCATGTAAAAACAAAACCAACTAGACCCCAGTTTATCAGAGGCGAGCTCCTTAGCCTTAAAGAAGTCCCATTTAGAATACAAACTTCTGAAAGTGCTTTAAGTATGAAATTATTATATGCTTACAATAAATGACAAGTGTTTTTCATTTAGACTAATTTCATTTGAATGTTCTTTATCGGAGGCATCCATGTTTGTCAAAGAACACTACTGCCTCCTACTGGTTTGTGACGTCACGGTGCGGTATCGGCTGTTGAGCAAGTCTCAGTGCTGTATCTGGTGTTTGTCACAACGTGCTATTATCCATGATGGTAATGACCTGTCTTTTCTCTGACCAGAAGTTCGTGGCAAATCCTCCCTCTTCAAGTTCGCAATCCGATGACGAATCCTTCTGTGGTGGATCATGGAAAGGTGAAATAACACTTTTTATTTTCACCTTTGTGTATTACAACATCCAACTGCCATGCATGTGAGCATTGTCAGTTTAACTATAACTCTCGCAAATTTCAATAGTGAAGTCCTCAGGAAATCTGAAATAATTGTTAATTGCAGATGTGTCTAGCAGATGTTTCTCCTGTTGATTTTGCTTGTACAGCGGGGAGAATGGCGCTCGGCTTACCGCACCGTGACGTCACTGCTGGAAGATGTCAGGAGAGAGGTGTTACTATATTTGGACAAAAATGGCCATTCCCAAAATGATGAAAAATTTTATTTTTTTACTGATAAATGTCAGTTAGGGGGCGGGGTTAACGCGAATCGAGGCGCCACCTACTGTATCAGAGTATGTCCACAACCTGTGGATCAGTCTCTGTAATCGATTTGCTTCGCCTTAATGTGCAGGGTGACCAATCAGGTGTTAGATAACCGCCCCCTAACTTTGATGGGTGAGTTTGACAGATTCTTTTAATTGTTTCGATGCACTGCGACACAGGACCATGAAATAATTAAATGCACACTGAAATAATTATATTTTTTCAATAAAATGAAGACTTATTTGATTAAATTAACGACACATTTATATATTTAATTCCTTATTTATTTAATGAATTACACATTTAATTGTTTATCGCTGTATTTATTCAATTGTGGCATTTTATATTAGTGACATGGTTTTAATTAATTATTGACACATTTATTTATTTAATGCTTTATTTAATTTAGGCACTTTTTATCCTCCATACAATTCTGGTGCGGCTTGAGGTGTCAGGAACTGTTGTCACAGTTGTTGTGAGGGTGATTGACAGGCCGAGTTGCGGAAGGGAAGCAAAATTACCAAGAGAATAACAAAAACAATAATAGTCAAAAAGTCTGATGGAGACGGTACACTCTGTCCTTTTCTAGCACCTGGTTTAGCTACAAGGCTTGGCTAACTGCAAACAGTGAGGCTAATGCTTTATTCTGCTTTCCTGCCTCCTTTTTCCAAAGTCAGGATCTGACCCAGCAGGGATAAAGAGTGGAAGGAGTGATTTAAAGCCATTTTTAGGAAAGGCAAAGAAGAATGAACAATCTGGGATTCACATAGAAAATAATATAATATAGTCAACTTTTTCTAGATGTTTGTTAATTTGCATATTTGCTCTTAGATAAACACATTCTCAGAAAATAAATAATTTTTATATATTTAAAAAAAAATTAAGCTGACTAATAGCTTCTCCATTATTAAACAGGTACATAATTTTTTTTTAGGTTTGTGACACAATAGAGGAACATGCAAAACACAGATTTTCCTTCACAAAGCCTCAGAAGGGCAAGATTTATGTACAACAAATAAATATGTACATGAAATTATGTTTTGTTTTCATAAAGTGTTTTTATAATGTTTTTTGTGGTTGGTATTCATATCAATATACTGGTCTGATAAGTTAATACAGTATATGGCTGATTGGTTTTTGGTGTACATCTATTTTGAATTTGTTAGCCCCCCCTAGAGAAAAACTCTACCAGCCGCCGCTGGAACTGACATCGATTAATGTAATTCGTCTTAAAAGGGTATAAAAAAGTAAAACCTCCTCTCCCTCTAGCTGCACTTAAAGTAACCTTCCTTTAAACTACTATGTTTTTTAATCCAATTTTCACACACACATATATATATATATATATATATATATATATATATATATATATATATATATATATATATATATATATATATATATATATATATTTATTTATACAGAGATGGGAAGTAATGAAGTACAAATACTCTGTTACTGTACTCAAGTAGATTTTTCTGATATTTTTACTTTACTTTACTACTTATTTTTATGGCGACTTTTTACTTCTACTCCTTACATTTTAAAAAATTGTCTCGTTACTTTAGTTTTGAATAATTTCAATGGAGTTACCGTTATTATTTTTCACGTCAAGAAGTTTAATCAGTACTTCCACTTTTACCAGAGTATTTTTTAACACAAGTATCTGTACTTTTACTCAAGTACGGAAAGTGAGTACTTTTGCCATCTCTGTATATATATATATATATATACTGTTACGGCTGCAGTGGGTTTCTCCACTTTTCCTTGCGCCCTAATTGGCGCTCTTCTGCTTTAAAAGCTGTCTTGCAAGCAGCAGACAGAAGGCTTCTCTCTCTTACCTCCTCAGAACCCCGCTTGGCTTGGTTTGGTTTGTATCCTGTCCTATGGTTGGGTTTTGTTAGGTTTGGTTGCATTTGCTTATTTCTGTTTAGTTATTGGTTTTGCATTAAGCCATTTCCTATTCCCTATTTTATTTATTCCTTTTCAGGTATTGTTTCTTTAGTATAATTTAATAAATAGTATGTTAGTATGGTTTTGGAATCCTGGCTTATGAACCTTTCTGATGGCACTTTTTTGTAATGTGCATAACAGTCACAGCGAGGTTTTATAGGTGTTGCCCCATATTTCTACACAGTAACTCAAATAAGTATGGATTACAGAATATGAAGTCTTGCCTTCAATTATTGATCTATCAATTTCTTTTTTACTTTAGTAAAAAAATGTAGTTTTGAAAAAGATCATCTTGTTAGATATCAGGTAAATTTAATAATTAAAATAGAGCTTAGAATGACAAAACTGGTGAAACTGGTTTTCAAGCAGATTGGGCGCTTGAAATGTATGACTGAACAGTCTGCTCTGTTTGAACAGTCCACTGGCCAGGATAAGGTAATAATCTTACATAGGTTTTTAGGAAACACGTACAGACCAATTATAGTTTACCAAAGTCTTTACTAATACATGGGAGGAAAGAGCTCTGTTGTACGCTCATATGAGAGCCAAGTTTATAAAAGTGAATTTAAAATGGTCTCTTTCTCTTTTTGCTGCATTTGATGATACCATACACCAGAGAGCTCAGTTCCAGTAACAGTCCTAATTGTTCTGCCTTTGGTAGATGATTAAAATTTAATGCTGATTTTAAGTCATTCATAGATTAAAATAATGTGTCTTTTGAAAAAGAGATAACCTGGGAGATATTGATAAAAGAGAAAAACTAGAAACAAAAGTTAGACAAGCTCTAGGAAAGGTGGTAGTTTGCCAGTTTGACTTTATCATTTCCAGGACACCTTGTGAAATTGCATAGAAAAATAAACTTTTTATCAAGAAATTTTGCATAAGCATTTTTTTTTAATAAGAAAAAAAAACAGACATCTTTGGATCATTCA